GGCGTGGTGGCTTCCTCCGGCGAGACGGGCCTTTGGAAGCTAGTCTTTCCGGTGGAGGGTTTAGGGTTTAGGGTTTACCCTAGAAGCGTGTAGGGCTTAGGGTTTAAGAGCGCTTCAAGTACACAGCACCTCTTTAAACCCTGAACCCTACAGCCTAATGCGTGAAGGCTCGAACGCTTTGAAAGCCGTGCGCAGACATGACATGCAGTGCAGGAACTAAGCAGAGCAAGTAACGTGGAGTTCGTTTTCATGTCCGAAAGGGCAGCCACTCCCACATGGGTCTCCTAGCTTCTGATAAACCAGGGCCAATACTGTGGGGATCTGGGACTGGGGATAAAGCTTAATTTGGGGTCTTATTAGGGTTTAGAGTCTAGGGCTTCATGAACATTGGACATATACAGATGGATAAGGACCAGGATATCACTCTTGAGCTTGGGAAGCCCTGTGGCCGAAGGATGGGCGAGCGAGCCCCAGTCAAAGTCGCTCAACAGAGGCACTGCCGGCCTTCGGAGCATGCAGTGATTGGCTCGAAAGTTCAAAAGCAGCAGCTTTAATTCAAAGAAAAACACTTGACATGGTGACCCGAACCCAAATGACCCTACATCCCCGAGCCATAAACTCGTTTGAGAATCGTCGAACCCATGTCAAGCATCGGTCGACGGCTTTGGCCGGTTGCTCGTGGAGAATCAAATCGCAGGGCCGAAAATGTGCTTCATGTGCCAAGTTGTGTTTGACATAGGGCCGCCTTAATTGCCAGAATAGGGTCGTAGGGTATAACTTAAGGGAATATTGGCAAGATTAACCCTAAACCCTAAACCCTACACCCTGAAGCCTAAACCCTAAGACTCTCACAGGGAGCTCTACTAAGATCCATAGAGTCCGAGGGCCGCAACAAGTAGACTTGGGGCTTCCAAGCGTGCTTGGGGTGGTTTAGAGTGTTTGGGGTTTAGGGCTTTAGGGCTTTAGGGCTTTAGGGTTTCGGGTTTAGGGTTTAGGGTTTAGGATTTCGGGTTTAGGGCTTTAGGGTTTCGGGTTTCGGGTTTAGGGTTTAGGATTTGGGGTTTAGGGCTTTAGGGTTTAGGGTTTGGGGTTTAGGGTTTAGGGTTTGGGGTTTAGGGTGATCAAAGACTTCAAAATCTCTTTCTCAAGGAATGTCCATCAACCCAACAGCTCCAAGCTCAACCCAAGACCCTCTGTGCTAGGAAGAAGAAGCGCAGAGAACTCTCACAGAGTCTGGAGCTGTAGTGACACATTGCATGGGCTCCGCAGAGCAGGAGGTCTGTTTTATGCGGGGGGGTATGGGGTTTAGGGTGTAGGGTGTAGGGTGTAGGGTTTAGGGTTTAGGGTTTAGGGTTTAGGGTTTAGGGTTTAGGGTTTGGGGTTTAGGTTGTTTTTCTTTAGGGGCCCTTGTCCATCTGCATGTAGTCCAACTACACTTCAAGAATCCGTACCAGACGGAGGGCCGGTAACAGCCAGTTTTGGCTATCACGCAGAAGGTTTTAGGTTTTAGGGTTAAGGGTTTAGGACACAGAAACCCATCAAATAACCCAAGGAGTTGAGGCCGGCGCGGGCGAATGTAGACATGCGTCGCCGTCACAGCCCGCCTCGTCTGTTCCTACGTCCTGTAGGCGCCTACTATTTGGGGGGCTCCTTATGATAATTCTGGCAGAATGGGCCCCAAAGCCCCATTCTACTTATCAAGGTACCCCCCCAAAATGGTAGGGTATACCCCTCCAGGTAACTATCTTGACCCTAAACCTCTGGACCCCGCCCCAAGTTTTACCCTAAACCCTAAACCTTAAATCCTAAACCCTAAACTCCATGAGCCCTAAAGCCGCACAAAGTCCCTATAGAACCCTGATAGACTTCAAGACCCCAAATCCGAAACTAAAATATTATAGAGGCCTTAACAATTAGAATAGGGTTTTTGGGGGGTACTGTACTTTATACTACAGTTATAATTAAGGAACCCCCAAGATAGTATAGGTAGTTATTTAGGCTTCTATATTACATTGACGGTAGCTCATCTGATCCGATGACGCAACTTCCAACCAAGCTGGGCGCTTCCGTAAGGTGTCCCGGCGGTGGTGCCATGCGGGCACTGCCTCTGTTCCCTCCCTGTCAAGGCAAACGACGGGAGAAACCTTAAAACCCTAAACCCAAACCCCTAGGCCCTAAACCCCTAAACCCCTAAACCCCTGAACCCCTAAACCCCTAGACCCCTAAACCCCCTAAA